TACATTACGGTTGTATGAATAAAGATGATCCCCAGGCAGACTACTCGATCTAGGGTTCAATTCCTCAAGATCTCATCTTTGAATTTTGCATTCTGTGTGTCGGTGACAATTGAAAATATTTCTTTGAGATTCCTGGCAGTTATTTTCAACCATACTATTGAGGTTATGAAGCTGTTTTTCACATTAGTTTTTGTTTACTTGATGACATTGAAGAGAGAAGCTCAACTTACACATATTACCCATTCCCGTTGTTACTGGGGTCATTATTGCTAGCCAGGCTGAACTGAGTTTTTATCTATTTTGGGTTTTATCATGTGCGTTTCATCCCCAGCAGCAAGAATTCTACAGATATCGTTCTGTACATGGATCCTATAGCTGAAGTGTTTCTACTTTCTATAACACTCAGTTATAGAAGAAAACATAATCAGTATTACATTTGCCTTTGCCAGAGATGATATCAAGATCAGTTGGTATTTCGTATTCAATTCGACACCAGCACATTTTGTGAATTTGACCAACTTTTTGGTCATACCAACATATCACTTGTATCCCCATTGAGTTTTGTTCTCAAATGGTCTTGTGACATCATACAAAAGATTTGAACACTAGGCAAAGAGCTTCAATGATTGAGAAATCTTGGCAGAAGCCACAGAAAAGGATGAATGTGTTGTCAAATGCTTCCTTGACCAACAATCCGAGTAGAAACCACAGGAAAAGATGAATGTATTGTCAAATGTTTTACGAACCAGTGATTATGGTCCTGAACCAATGTTGCAATCATATGGTTTCCATTTATTGATCCAAGATGAAGTTTGTCTTCTTCAACCCCAAGATTAGAAGTGAGATATAATGAAGATTTCTTTCCAAGGAGAGCTGAAATTTTAAACAAGAAACTAATGGGGTCAACTAAGGTTGAACTACAGGTTGTTGTTAAGCATCTCGATATGATATGGTCCAAGTTGCCTTATTCGAGATCTGATTATATGTGGAGACATGAAAGGAATTGGAATAAATCTTCCTTGTGATATGTTTCAAGAGTTAAATTGGAACAGACTCTACTCTCCTAATTAATCCCTGCTGAGTCAGACATATCTACATCTACACTCTTCAAAGATGATAGACTCCTTTTTCAAAGATGATAGATTCTCTTTTTAAAGATGATAGATTCTCTTTTTAAAGATGATAGATTCTCTTTTCAAAGATGAAAGCTTTATTGGATTTCTACACAATTCCAAGCAAAGAAGGTTGGTTTTATCAAAGATAAAATGGGCATCAAAGTCATAGTTCTGACTACGGCAAGAGTTCCATAAATGAAACATTTCTTCTGAGACTTTCATAAAGCAAAGAAGACGCAAAGATATAAGTTGATCAGATGATTCTACAGAAATGTAAGCTTGATAGCATAAGTTTCTACACTGATATCCAGAGGTAACCCTGGCAATAAATGATGAACTGAAAGAAGATCGAGTTCACCACTTTGAAGTCAAATGAAGATTGCATCAACATTCATGCATTCATAAAAATATCATTTATACAATAGACAATGCATTACATTGATACATTTGAGTGCATTCAAACATGAAGTTTTATAGATCTTCGGAAGAACGAAGAAGGTAAAAAATACCTTACAAGAAGAAGGTATTCAAAACCAAAAATACAGGAATCACGCAAACATCTGAAGAAGAGATGGACCAATCCACAAGAATGAGCATTATCTTGAGATTGGGGCATGTTACCCAATCAATATGTTATTTCAAAAACATAATGAGAAAACGATTTCCATAGTTTCTCATTTTATCTTTTCTAAAAATGAAACTGTTGAAAAGTAAGAAAACGATTTTCTTAGTTTTTTTACTTAGTAAACTATTTCCAACAACCTTATCTTGAGATTGGGGCATGTTACCCAATCAACAGGTTATCTTGAAACATAATGAGAAAACGATTTCCAAAGTTTCTCATTCAATCTTTTCTAAAAATGAAATTGTTGAAAAGTAAGAAAACGATTTCCTTAGTTTTTTTTTACTTAGTAAACTATTTCCCACATCTGTAAGTCCTGCAGTGCATGATGTTTCCAAAAAGCCTTCGGGAGCTTTTTGATGTTGTTACTTTGAAAAATAATGAGAAAATGATTTCCATAGTTTCTCATTTAATCTTTTCTAAAAATAAAATTGTTGAAAAGTAAGAAAACGATTTCCTTAGTTTTTTTACTTAGTAAACTATTTCCCACATCTGTAAGTCCTGCAGTGCATGATGTTTCCAAAATGCCTTCGGGAGCTTTTTGATGTTTTCAAAGCCTTAGGGTCATCTGTAAGTCCTGCAGTGCATGATGTTTCCAAAAAGCCTTCGGGAGCTTTTTGATGTTTTCAAAGCCTTAGGATCATCTGTAAGTCCTGCAGTGCATGATGTTTCCAAAAAGCCTTCGGGAGCTTTTTGATGTTTTCAAAGCCTTAGGGTCATCTGTAAGTCCTGCAGTGCATGATGTTTCCAAAAAGCCTTTGGGAGCTTTTTGATGTTTTCAAAGCCTTAGGGTCATCTGTAAGTCCTGCAGTGCATGATGTTTCCAAAAAGCCTTCGGGAGCTTTTTGATGTTTTCAAAGCCTTAGGGTCATCTGTAAGTCTTGCAGTGCATGATGTTTCCAAAAAGCCTTCGGGAGCTTTTTGATGTTTTCAAACCTTCGGGTCATCTGTAAGCCCTTCAGTGCATGATGTTTTTTTAAGACCTCTAGAATGATGTTTTCAAACATTTTCATCCTACTCAATAGAAGCCAAATGAAAAAATTATTGTCTTTTTTGTCTTTGCTCTATTCTTGTTAACACAAGGATGAGCAAAGAGGGGCATCTGTAGAAATCAATTTTTTCATTTTAAATTTAAATTTATTATTATTATTATTATAATTTAGGGTTTGTATCATCCCAGCAGCCAGCCACCTCAATTCACAGCCGTTTGATCTGGCTTTGATCCAACGGCCCAGATGGTTCCAGGAAAGGAAGCCCTAGGGTTTCCTAACCCTAGGTTATCATCCAGCTGCCTTTTCAACTACCACGCGGCGCCTCCTCTGCTACCAACACCACTGCCGACGCTCCACTAGTGCCACGCCTCCGATGAAGACTCTAGAAGACTCAGAGCAGCCGCACACGTTGAAGTCTAGAGTGAGTCACCACTATAGTTTGGTGACTCACCAAACTTTGCCCTATTATCCGGTCCGAAGAAGACACTGTGGTGGCTATAAAAGCCACCACGGAACCTGCAAAAGAAAAGAGGAGAGGAAGAACCGGAGATAACAGAAACAACAGCAAGCCAAACAAAACCCATAGCAACAAATCAAAAAGCAAAGAGAGAATAGAGTGAGAAAACTTACCACCGAGGAAGCTACGCCATAGTCAGAACCTCCGCACGCCGCAAAAGAAATCAAAATACTGAGAGTATTTCTGTAGATCTAGGTAACTATAAGGCTTTTTAGAGAAAAAGGACACCGGATTCGTCTTTAGGACGTTCAGATCTTTATTTTGGGAAATTTTGAAATTTTCCGGCCACCGGCAGCGGTGGCCGGCGGTGGTTGCCGACGCCGTAGCACGGCTGCCGGGCGGTGGCCTCTCTCTCAGTTTTAGAGAGAGGCGAGAGAATTCTGGTTCTCTCTCAGTATTGAGAGAGAAGGGAGAAAGGAGAATGAGAGAGCTGGCCCTTCGGGCCAGTCGTTTGGGGATTTATACCCCTTCCCGAACGACGTCGTTTTGGGAAGGGGTATATGCGTAATTTACATGTATGGCTAAACCCTTTCCGTAGCCATCCGAGTTTTGTAATTATTCATTTTAGTCACTGAAACTAACTTATGAATGTTCTAATTCAGTGTTCGAATTTCATTTTATTATGTTTTAGTCATTACCAGTATTAAATAATATATTTAAGATAAATATCACATTTAGTCCCTAATAATTTTAATATTTCTATTTTAATCACCGATTAATTAAATAATGGTTAATTACACTACTAGTATTTATATTTTATGATAATTCTAATCATGTCTCTTAAATATTTATATTTTTATAATTTGATCATTAAATTTTATATAATCTTAATTTTAACCATAAGTTTTATTATTTTTACATTTTTAAGTTCATATATTTATGAATATGATCCATTAGTTTTTAATAATATTACTTTTAATTTCTTTCATTTTAATTATTATTATTTTATTTTATTATTACGTTTGATATATGTTTAAATTATTATCTTCATGATTATTTTATTATTATTATTAAATTATATAAACATATTTATATAATATTTATTTATTCTATTTGTTTATTAAATAAAAATCATATTTATAAATTTAATTTTATAAATTACTTTTAAGAAAAATAAACATATTTTGATATGTATTTATTTTTTAATATCTAAGAAAAGAGCTGTCTTAAAATACCTAGAAGTCCTTTTCTGATATTCTTAAATAAATAAATGTTTTTTTCATATATTAATATATTTTAATTATTTTTAGATAAATGTTTTATTAACATTTATTTATTCATTAATATCAAAGAAAAGAGCTGTCTTAAAGCACCTAGAAGCCCTTTTCTGATATTTCTAAATAAGTAAATATCTTATTTATATATTAATATATTTTCTTAAAATTATTTGAAATAAAAGAATTATGAATTAAATATATTTTTGAATTTTTAAATTCCAATAATAGAGACAATTTATAATTAAAAAGTACCAATTTTGGGCGTTGTAGGGGTCTAATCCTTCCCTAAACGTAACCGACCACGAATCCCTTTTTATTAATAAAAAGAACGAATTTTTGGTTATAAACGCAGATCAGTTCATCTTTTAAATGATGTTTTCTTAAAAACTCTTTTAAAAGATAATTTTTAGGTAATCGACCTACCTGACCCAAAAGGCCGATGGCGACTCCCGAATTATTTTTTAAAATCATTTATTCACATTATTTTTCCCGCCAAGTATAAAAATTTCGTGCCCGGACGAAAACCGGTTGCGACACATTCCTCTCGGTGTTCCATCAGATACTAAGTTATAATGATCAGTGGCCTGTGATCCATTCCAAGCACCAGATTGGCCTGGATGCATGAGTGAAGGACTTCTTATTCTTGGGTTGTATGGACCATGGTTGTATACACCTTGAGCAGGTGAAAATTGGCTTTGCATCTGATGGACAGGCAAATCCCTATCGAAGCTCCTTGGTCCTGTCAAACCAGAATAGTAGGCCGATCATTTAGAAAAACAAAAAGGAATACCAACTCATGTTAATTGAAAAATTAGAGAAATTCCATACAACTAGTTTTAACCGATAACTCAATTCACAAATGATCAGCTTAGTAGTAGCACAAATAAAAAATTATTGCATGCATCGATAATAATATCATGTTTACACAGACAAAAATAGTAGGAAAAAGAGTACCGGGATGGGATGGTGCGTGCCAACCACTGGTAGTTGGCGATGTAAACGATTGTTGCATAGTCTGGTTATGAATGTTGCCCCTCTTCTTGTTAGCAGAAAATGCTGCCATGGGGTCTGTAACAACCCGAAAAAAAAAATTTAAATTGGTGTAATTTGGTGACTAAATTAAAAGTTTTCAAAACTTATAGGCCATTTTAGAAGTTAGAAAAAAAATTCAATGACCAAGCCCTGCATTATACGTTTGAGTGTCGGCAGGCTTTTCTTTTAAAGGAAATGAATTGGTTTCTGCGTGAAAACACAGAAAACCAATTCATAAAATTCCCTTTCCAGCAACCTTCTTTAAAGTCTGATTTCGATACCGTTCGAGCTCCAATCATAAAATTAAAACCACTGTCGTGTTCATCTTCGACCTGTGATCAAAACCCAGTAAACCAATTATAGCGAAACGCTGTCAAACGACGTGAATTTCGAGTCAAAGTCTCGATGTTTTTATAGCACCACCGCCGGGAAAATCTTAAATTCATCTCCGATCGTTGATCGGTTTTCGACACCTCCCGCACCATCGTGTTCCTGGTGTCGTTCCGAGTCCGACGGTGTCATCATTGTCTCTGTAGGCGACGGCGCGTGTGGGAGGTGGAGCGGTCAAAGATTCGACCAAGTTGAAATCGAGCTCTCCACCGTTCAAAAATTTGAACCGAGGTTGGTAAGTGACTCAAAATCGCTTAAAATAATTTTTAGAAATTTTTTCAGGAATTTTTGGAGTTCAGAAGAGCCTTCTCGCGCCCCCACGCGCCGCCCCTGCGCGTGGGGGAGTTCCGAATCTGCTGGGTGATGTTGTGACCGGTTTGACCGGTCTGACCCGACCCGACCCGGTGACATTCTGGGAAATATTTCAAAAAATGTGACAGTTTGGGAATTTTTTTGAAAAAGGTGACATTTTGGGAAATATTTCAAAAAATGACATTTTGAGAATTATTTTGAAAAAGGTGACATTCTGGGAAATATTTCGAAAAAGGTGACATTCTGGGAATTCTTTTGAAAAATGTGACATTTTGAGAATTTTCGAATATGGACTATTGAACCCCTTTGACCGGCTTTAAACAGCCATTAAACGACCTTTGATTTTGTTCGAGTATACCTATTCTGACATTTTTCGACTTGCCGAATCCGTTTCAGAAGTCCGTTTCGCTAAATTCGAACTCGAAGGCCTCCAAATCACCAGTCAAACCCGTTGACTTTGATTTTGACCAAGAATTTGAATTTTTGAAATGTCATACTTTATGTTTTTCGACGTCCTGATTCCGATTCCGCAATCCGTTTGGTCAACTTCAGACTCGAAATCCTCCAAATTGGTAGTCAAACTCGGAAAATGCTTATATACTTAAGAATTTAGCTTTGAACAATTAAGTAAGACTTGGGGGCTGATAAATTATTATTGTTTGAAGGTACAAGAGACTCTCTGGATCGTTCGACAGCTCGACCCAGCTCTTCTAGATCAATTAAACCACGGGTGCCAGTATTCACCCGTAAGATCCGTAAATTTTATGATTTTAGAGATTAATTATGTTACCCATTAGTAATATAGTGTTATTATAAATTAGGTTCGAAAATTGTAGCAGAGCGTGGTGAGACCAGCAATCAGTAGATCTACTACTTGAACCTATTATCGAGGTGTGTTCCCTATTTATTACTGAACTGTTTTATTTGTTTTAATATGTGGTACACTGAATTCTTTGGTTATTGTTTTATTAATGCACCGATTTAATGTGATGGTTTATGGATTATGACTGCTATCTGATTTTGTTTTGAAATGGTATATGATTACCATGTTTATGGAATTTATGTCAATGTGCAATTGAATTTTTGGAATACGAATTTATAAAGTACAGCTCTGATCAAGCTGGAAAATTTTACGGACCTAATGTGACTCTTAGGTAGGCTCTGCGGCCCTGAGATCATTCTCGGGTACGCCATGTGACCCTAAGATGTGTTCTTAGGTAGGCCCCACGGCCCCGAAATCTATCTTGGGTAGGCTCTCAGGCCCTAAGATGTTCCCTTAGGGTAACTCTTTTATGGGATTTACTGCAGTATAATTTTTATGAGATTTACTGGACTATGATTTGTTTAGTGTATCTATCATGATGTTATAGTAATGTTGGGAAACACTGAGCCTAGCTCACTTTTCGAAAATGTTTTCCCCTTTCAGATACTGTTGGTTAGATACACCTGATCGAGCACTTGGAGGATCAACATATCTCTTGAAGTATATCGTATTGTAATGTTTTATCTTTTAAGTTGACTCTATTTTGGTAACATGGGTCTTATTTTAAAGTATTGGATTTTATAATGATTACTCCTTTGCTATTTATATTTGGTTTATCGTAAATTTGGATTTTTAAGATATGTTTAAATTAATTTGTTTTTCCTCATTATATTTATGATTTGTATTTTTATAGTATAAATTATTATAATCTCATAAACGTCATTTATAATGTGATTGTACCATGTTTGAATAATGGTTTCGAAACAATATCTTTAAGAATCATGAATGTGATTCACTAGACTTAGTCGAAACGTATAGACCGGCTCTAGGGGGTTACATTTAATTGGTATCAGAGCTTTTGGTTTTTAAACCTCCGACTGTGTATGAGTCCAAATTGAAAATACGGTTTTGAAATATTTTACAAAACCTGTTGCTAAGGCCATGTCTCAAAGTTTTTATGATTTTAATTGTGTTCGAGACTCCAAGTGCTTATATAACCCTAAGTTATATCTCCTGTAGTAAACTAGAGATCTACAAAAATGAGTGCTAGACTTGGACGTCGAACTAGCCGAGGGCGAGGTCGAGTGGCTAGATATGCAGACCTGATCGATGAGGTTCGAGTAGATCCCCCCACCTCCGACAGGTGATCCTGCTCCTGTGACCCCGACAAATTTACCTCCTGCTGTTGGGATTGACATGACTACACCGATCAGGGGAACAACCGATAGTGAGCCTGATTCTACCAGAGTTGCATTTGATGAGAATTTTGGTAGACAATTTTTACAGTTGATTCAAGGAGCAGTCAGAGCTGCTGGTGCTGGATCTGAGGTGCCTATTTCTCAAACTCTGATCGCCAATGGGGTCAGGACTTTTGGAGGAAAGCTTGGAGGAATTCTTACTGAAGCATAAGATTGGCTTCAAAATACAGAAAGACGCATGGATCAGTTGGGTTTGGACCCAACTAAGAGATATTTGGGGGCGGTAGCGATGTTAGATGGCAATGCCCACACCTGGTGGGAGTCAGTGACCAGTAGTGTTCCTATCGATCGTTTGACATGGGATTTCTTTAAGGAGCGCTTTCGGAGTCGATTCCTGGGGGAGCATTACTTAGTCCAGAGACGACAGTAGTTTCAGGACTTGGTTCAGGGTGATATGACTGTTTCAGAGTATGAGATAGAGTTCTTAAAATTGTTAAAGTATGGAATCAGTATGGTGCCTATTGAGAGAGATCGATGCCGTAAATTTTCCCTCGGACTTAGATATGAGCTACGTAGGTAGGTGGTGGCCCTTCAAGATGATATATTTTTGATGTGCTGGTGAGCAGAGCCAAGGATGCTGAGGAGATGGAGGCTTTAGCTTCTGGTAGAGAGCGTTTTGATCAGGAGCGATCTAGGAAATCTTTTGGCCCTATTGAATCATCCGCACAGTCCGGTAAGAGGACTCGTACTTCAGCCCCTCAGAGGAGCAATACACGCTTCAGTCCTGCAACATCATCACCTTCAGTTATTAGTAGAGGTGGTTCTTCGGTTCTGTTTCAAGTGCCTCATTGTGACTTTTGTGGTAAACGGCACACGGGAGAGTGATATAGGAAGACCGGAGCATGTTTTCATTGTGGATCTAGTGGTCATTTTCGGAGGGATTGTCCTCAGCTAGCTTCGTCTGAGCGGACTGGTACCTAGACTCCTGTGCGTTCACATACTACAGTACAGACTCCAATTAGAGATCGTAGCCAAGTAAAGGCTCGTGGTTCAGCATCCAGGACTGACAGTAGAGCTCGACCTCAGTATAATAGAGGGCCAATAGTTTCTGAGGCTAGACAGCCAGCTTTGGTTTACGCCACTAGACGTCGGGATGACAGAGATGAGCCTGAGGTTATTGCATGTACATTTACTATTTATTCTATTCCATACTTTGCATTACTGGACAATGGCTCCACCCACTCCTATGTATCGAGCTCAATATCTCGAAACCTTTAAATTTCGATCGAGAACACTGATAATACTGTTACGGTTACGAGCCCAGTAGGACAGGCAATATTAGTGAATAAAGTATTTCGGCGTTGTCCTCTGGAGGTTCAGGGAGAAATTTTTCTCGCTGATCTTATGGAGCTTCTTTTAGAGGAGTTCGATCTAATTCTTGGGATGGATTGGTTGAATAAACACAAGGTAAATCTGGATTGCGAATACAAGCGTGCTACTCTGAAGACATCAGATGGTCGGACTGTTGTGTTAATTGGTGAACGGCGTGGCTATCTCTCCAATATTGTTTCAGCTATGGAAATTGATCGTATGATCAGGAAGGGGTATTAGACTTTCATTGCCTGTATTCTGAACACTAAAGGTTCCTTATCCACGATCGAGGAGATTCATATAGTTGGCGAGTTTTCTGATGTTTTTCCGGAGGAGCTGCCTGGGTTACCTCCTGATAGAGAGGTAGAGTTCGAGATTGAGACTTATCCGGGATCTTCACCTATTTCTATGGCACCTTATCGCATGGCTCCAAAGGAACTTAAGGAGTTGAAGGTCCAATTGCAAGAATTATTCGATCGAGGATTTATTCGGCATAGTACCTCACCCTGGGGAGCTCCAGTTTTGTTTGTGAAAAAGAAGGATGGGACGCTAAGGCTATGTATTGACTATCGGATGTTGAACAAGATGACGGTCAAGAATAAGTACCCATTACCCAAGATTGACGACTTATTTGATCAGTTGCGAGGAGCTACTGTATTCTCTAAGATTGATATTCGTTCGGGGTATTATCAATTGAAAGTTAAGGGGTCCGATGTTGCAAAAACAACCATTCGCACTAGATATGGTCATTATGAATTCTTAGTAATGCCTTTTGGTTTGA